AGAGAGAGAGAGAGAGAGAGAGAGAGAGAGAGAGAGGGGGGGGATGTTTTACTGAGCGGGTTGTTCCAGCGCGTGAGACATGTATTTACTAACTAGGTAGGCCGCCCCTTTCGATGAAAGGAATGATCGGTGCTTTAACAGCAACCGAAAGTAAGTGGCCTACTATATTTACACTCTACTTGAAAGGAGCAATAATTAATCTTGAGAGAAAAGTGACATGTATTTCCAGTTGCCAAATAATAGATGTACAGTTTGATTCTCTATTCAGCTTTCGAGGTTGTACACTGCAGAATTTCAGGTATCAGTGCGCACGGTTAGTGAACGGAAACCTCACTTGTTAACAATAGCGCATAGAATTCTTCTACACTTCAGTGTAGAATTCTGTGCAATAGCGTCGTCTTAGAAGACGAACTTTCTCAATATTAGATCTAGATATAGATCTAAACGAAACTAATGAAAAACTGAACCTTAAACTACACTGACTTCAGACTCTTCAATAATACTGTGCACCCTTTGAATGATTCTGAACCATTATTAATTTTTTTCAAATTTTAAAGATAAGTGGTTGGGAAGTTTTAGGCTGCCAAAGTGACGGACTTTCACAAATATACATGTAGATCTAGATTTAGATCTATGTAGCCTATAGATTGTGTCCTAGCTTGTGCGTCGTATGCGTGAGTGCACCAAACCTTTGTAACGTCTACGACCAAGACAAATTTCTCCCTGCGAGATGAATAAAGATTGTCATTGTCAAAAGTGATATTGCCCCAGCTGTAGATTTAAACCTTTAAAAATCAGTAGAAACCACCCACTTGGATTCTTGTTCTTATAGATATATTAATTAGATCTAGATCTAGAGGAGGAATTTTCAAGAATACAACCAACAGGTATTTTAAAACAAATTTTAGGCTTTTGACCGGAGCAAATTAATGCACGTCATTGTGCAAAAGCTGAAGAGTCTATATGTTGGATAGTTTAGAAATATTTGACAATAAGTTGCGCCACGAATTGTAGACTTCACTATAGATTTAGCCTAGTTCTACTTGATTCATAACTTGAAAAGCCTTCAGGCCTTCATACTTCATGCTAAAAGTATTTTTCGAGTCGGCCAGGCTTTTCCTTAATGGAGGGACAAAAACTGACATCTTGGCACAGTTCGATCATTGTCGATCAATTTAATCACAAGATCCTGCAAAATCAAATGTTAGCAGAACAAAGTGTGCCTGGTTGACCAGTAAAAGCTCTATTTCCAAAAATATGGCGATCTTTTATTTCCTAATTTTGGCGGCTGAGCTCAACGGTCTCCTGGATTGTTAATTTTCGGTCTGAAATTTAACCAAACGAAAGTTAACGAACGCCGATTTAACAGACAGCAACGCTGACAGGAGGTAGGCTAGTTAGGCCTAGATGTATCCAGTCTGTCCTCAAATAAGTCTGCCTTTGAGAAATCTTAGATTATTTCTACAGTGTACTTCATACTTTTGAATTCCTTCTGTCGTTTCTGACATTTAAAGTGTAAAGCATGTTGCTAGAGAGACTAGACTACTATAGGCCTATGTGTGTTTCGTCTGTGTCAAATGAATTGACTGCATCACACAGAGATTCTTTACCGTCAGTGAACGAAGGTGGCGAAGTTACCCGACTCTACCCTAGATCTAGACTAGATCTAGATCTAGATTTAGATATCTAGAAAATCTAGATCTAGATCTAGATCTAGATTCTAGATCTAGACTTTTTGTCAGCGACCGTTTATTTTTGTCTGCAGGCATGATGGGGCTGGTGGACTAGCTTCTAGCTTCAGTTGTTGCAGGATGCAGTTTGGGCTCACTTTCATTCATAATTTTTGTGTTACAGTGTGGTATGTCTTGATTTTGAAAGTCCAGGACTCTTCCAATTGCTGGAAAATCCAAACTTCTTGGGCCTGTACTCTCACTCTAGATCTCTACTGGTTTCGATTGTTGTTCACCAATTCATTAAACAGTCACCATGCACTGCGTAGTCTAAATGTATAGATTAGATCAAGTGTATCTAAATCTAATCTAGATCTAGATCTATCTAGACTAGATCTTTCTAGACTAGATCTCTAGATCTATCTAGACTAGATCTCTAGATCTAGATCTAGAATCTAGATCCACGAGGAGTTATAGAGAAATACAGTATTTACAGATAGGTCGAACGGAGATCAAAGACTCAAAGTCACGCATCCATTGAACTGTTCCAGTGGTCCCGTTTTTTTCTTTCTTTGTAACCTCAACTCCTTGTATCATGTCCATTCAAAAACACTATTATGTGTGGATTTTATAGAAAAACGTTGATTAAAGGCACAAATGTAAAACTTTAAGTCACCAAAATTTGGCAGCCATTTTGTCGCTTAATTTTACTTCTGAAACCAGGTGACCCCACTTTCTTCAATCGCAAATATCTCGACTTCTATTCAAGATACAGTCGAACCTGTGTAAGACAGAATCGCAAGGGAGCCAGAAAAAAATTCCATCTTAGACTGGGGAATTTAGGGGGAGATGGGGTGGGGGGGGGGGGGTTCAAAGGCTCAGACGTTGGGATCAAGGATCGCTTGTCCGATCGGCAAGCAGTGGTCAAAACTCACCTCTCAATTGCTATCCTGTCTGATAATGACATGCGTCAGTCTTACTCCTCTATACTACTTATCCAGTTACCAAGAGTGCTTGCCTTTCATTGGATCACTGTTTGACCAATTAAAAACAAATGTTTGAACATCTCCTTTGCCTCCCCCCTTAGCCGCACCCACCGGTGTAACAAGCACAGTCAACCAATGCCACCCCTCACTGCCATCATGTAACAACGATTCGAGGAACTCTTTTCTCAGCTGGCCGTACGATCAGGGTGGCAGGCATTGGTCAATCTAATTTCACACCTCTGGTTTCTGGCTACCCAGGAAAGTTTCCGTAGTGGGTTCGCTACCCGAGCACTCTCATGGGCAGTCGTGAGATTTAACACCCACACTACACTGACCATCTGCATCGCTCAGGGCTCTCATGATGGGGTAACATCTACCCCCAAATTGCACCCCTACTCCTCTTCTTCGCCCAGCGGCATGGTCATAGCGTTAAATTTTAGAGCCAGCGGAACCAAACTTGCGAGTTTTGTTTCAAATCAGGGTTGAGCGAGGCAAAGTATTTTTCCGTCTTAGACAGGTGAAACCCTCGGAAGGGAGCAGATTTTTCGTTCCGTTTCCGCGTTGGACAGGTGTCCGTTTGATACAGGTAATTAAAGAGATAGATACATGAAGGGGGGAGCAGGGAGATTCCGTTACGACAGGTTTCCGTTAAGGCAGGTTCGACTGTAACTGGATATTTTTTCATCGAAAGCAAGGCAAATGAATGACCTTTAGGATGATACCAACATCTCCATACGCCCCAAAATTGACGAACGTCTGATTCTACTGCGTTGTGACACAAATGTGTTCACTATAAAATACATTTCTTGTGAAAAATTTGCTCCAAAAAAGTGTCATTGGTGAGCTGCGACGTAGGCCATTATATCTCTGCGTATGTATGCATAATGTGTGTGAGAAGTGGGAAGTGCTGTGAACAGTCCAATTTTCTTTGTAACGGAGATTTATTGGATTTTATATAATATAAATTTATGAAGAAAAATTTTCTAATCTAGTCTCAATTTTAGTTGAAAAATGTGATAAATTTTATGACAAATTGATACCAACAGCTGTGCAAAGTATGGATGGCATTGAAAAAAATGTTGACTGCACTATAGTCTAGAATTGCCATAAAAAATTTCATTTTTGAATTTCCAGGAATTTCCCTTTAATTTAAACAGGGCTGTCACACTTTTTGTTTTGTGTCATCTAAACACTTTGCCGCCTCGTCTCGCCGATTGGCGATGTTTACCTCCCAGTTTTTTGGGATTTTCCCCAAAATATGTTGGCAAAGTGTAAAAGTTATTTTAAATGATTGTGTTATGTAGGGCTTTCAAGCCTCAGCCTAGCATCTTAGCATCGGTCCAACAGTTCTACTTTGAGTCATACATAGCTATCTAAGCATTTGGTAAAACAGCATATGGGGGCTCTTGTGGCCTAGAGTTTAAGGTGTTCGCCTCTCATTCAAAAGGTCCTGGGTTCGATACCGGGTAGCGATGAAAAATTTTCTTCGCTCAAATTTTTTCCTTTCACACCCTTCCCTGCTCTCTAACAATGTTCTGTTGTCTACTTTCGTCTCCACTTTCTGCCCCCACCCCCTCACCTCATTTGCCCTCTCCTCTGGGCTCCTGACTCTTTTTGCAGCTTTTCTACTGCTTCTCCTTGGCTCCTTCTTACTGCTTTCTTTCAGCCACACCCCTGATCTTCTGGTAGGAAAGATCAACACCTAGCCTTCTCGGAGAAGGGCGAAAAATCTTGCAGTTCCCTGTGCAAATTGGGTACGTTAAAGATCCCTTGGTGGTCCAAAATTGATGAGTAGACTTCGGCCGCCACCCGGGCAAAATTAAGAATTTTCTACCAACTGAAAATGTTTAGTGTGTCCCGTGTGCTCATATGACTTAATGCAGTTGAGAGCGCCGTAAAATACTTCCCAAAAACCCCCCCAAAAATAAACAGTGTATGTCTAAAGAAATCCCTTTTGTGACCCAGGGCCCGGAAAGGTGGCACATATGTTTCTCAGTTGGCTAAATTGATCGCTAGATTAAAATTAATCCCTGAGTTTTGAATGAAAACATTGTCTTAACTTACAGAATTTTTCTAAGATTATTTACAGTCGCTCATTTTAAGAATTGAAATGATTGTTTTATATAAATAACATTCACCTAAAAAATCCTGATTTCATCTTTTGTTGTATTTGTGCAGGTAGTAAAGAGAGAGACGGGCGAGAAATGTGCTGAGGGAAGAAAGTTTGCGGCAGAAGAGCTGTGTTCATCAGTCAATCCGTGCAGTGCCGGCCAGCGTTTTGTCAACGGGCTCCAAATGTCCCTTTGATCTCGTTCTGGAGAAGGTAAAAGGTCATAATGAGTTCTCCAGGTGCGCACTCGATGCTGAGAGATGCGACAAACATCTGTGTTCTCGACGACGATGATGATGATGTTGTCATCATGGGAGAGGAAAAGGTAGATGTTGCTGCTATCCAAAGATGTAATCCGTCCAAGTCTTCGTCGACTGCTTTGAACGATGTTCTCAAGATCATTGCGGAAGCGAAGGAGTTGGGGAAAGAGACTGAGAAAGACATGGCTTTGTTTGCAGAGGAGATTGAAAACATGCAGGTGAGTGACTCAGTGGTTTATGGGTGACTCAGTGGTGTGAGGGTGACTCAGTGGTGTGAGGGTGACTTAGTGGTTTATGGGTGACTCAGTGACTCAGTGGTTTATGGGTGACTCAGTGGTGGGAGGGTGACTCAGTGGTTTGTGGGTGACTCATTGACTCAGTGGTGTGAGGGTGACTCAGTGACTCAGTGGTGTGAGGGTGACTCAGTGGTTTATGGGTGACTTAGTGACTCAGTGGTTTATGGGTGACTCAGTGGTGGGAGGGTGACTCAGTGGTTTGTGGGTGACTCAGTGACTCAGTGATGTGAGGTTGACTCAGTGACTCAGTGGTGTGAGGGTGACTCAGTGGTGTGAGAGTGACTCAGTGGTTTATGGGTGACTCAGTGGTTTATGGGTGACCCAGTGACTCAGTGGTTTATGGGTGACTCAGTGGTGGGAGGGTGACTCAGTGGTTTGTGGGTGACTCAGTGACTCAGTGATGTGAGGTTGACTCAGTGACTCAGTGGTGTGAGGGTGACTCAGTGGTGTGAGAGTGACTCAGTGGTTTATGGGTGACTCAGTGGTTTATGGGTGACCCAGTGACTCAGTGGTTTATGGGTGACTCAGTGGTGGGAGGGTGACTCAGTGGTGTGAGGGTGACTCAGTGGTTTGTGGGTGACTCATTGACTCAGTGGTGTGAGGGTGATTCAGTGGTGGGAGGGTGACTCAGTGGTGTGAGGGTGACTCAGTGGCTCAGTGGTTTATGGGTGACTCAATGGTGTGAGGGTGACTCAGTGGTTTATGGGTGACTCAGTGGTGTGAGGGTGACTCAGTGGTTTATGGGTGACTCAGTGGTGTGAGGGTGACTCAGTGGTGTGAGGGTGACTTAGTGGTTTATGGGTGACTCAGT